AGAGGGCTCTTGATGTCCGAGGGTGGTTCAAGCCCCATACTGGGTGTAGAGATTGAATGAAAAAAAAAAAAAAAGTAAATAATAACATTCTCTCCCGTTGTTGTATACATCTCCTGGAATTTCAGATCAAGCTCTATTTGTTTCTTACTGAGAGAGTGGGAAGGCACTTGGTGTGTGCATGTTCATGCATCTCCCCCACCCACAGCAGGACCGAGGCTGAAATCACGACTGGTTCCGTGCAGCCTGCCTCCAGGAATGGGGAAGTACTTTCTGCCAGAAGACTCTGTTCCATTCTCTAGTTTGGGTCTGGCTTTCATTCAATCCATGACCTCCTTTGTTCCTCTCCCAGGAGCTTTCAGGACTGGTGTGTCCTTTGCAGGAAGTCACTTGCTCGGCTCTCAAGAGTGGAAACAACCTAACGCACTGAGGGAACAGGCAGATGTGGGGTTACAAGGAGCCGAGCTCACAGGTAGCCTGCCTCCTCTCTCTCACCCATTTGACCAGTGGTGCAACAAGCTGGTTGGAGTGGCTGAGGCACTGCCCTACGCTCAGCCTGTTCACCAGATCTGTTCCACCTCCTGCCTACTCGTGCAGTTGTTTGTGCGTGATGGGCGATCCTCTGCTCACCCCTGACCAACAAGAGGTGAATTGAAATAATAAGCAGACTGAATCCACAGGAAAGATGTTCTGCGTAAGATTGGGTGGGGGTGGGGAACAGGTTTAAAGATGCTTTAGAAGAGACCTCGCAAGTTTTATACACTTACCCTCATGCCAAGGATGGCAGGATTACACTGTCTTTTTTTTAATTCTCATTTTGCTCTCTGAATTTTTTTTTTCATTTCAAACGCCTATTCTTTTAGGTTTTTAAAAAAAGAGCCATATAGGAAGCCACGTTATGATGGCGTCGGTCGCGTCGACTTCAGCCAGGTCACACGATTACTTGCATCGTTCGAGCGGTCCTGAGTTCCGGCGTCAGGCTGAGCTCAAAATAACCAGAGCCTGGAGAACTTTTCGGTCTGTATTTCCCTCTCTCCTCCTCCCGTTCATTATACTCTCTGTGTATCTGTCCCAAAAATATAACGTTCAAAAAAAAAAAAAAAGGTAAATAGGCATAAATTTCTAACAGGAGAGTAAATGAAATAGAACTTAATTCAGTCTTAGTTCCGATGGTTTCAGATATTTATTGAACATCCCACAGACGCTGTCTTCTGCAAATGCTGGACACAAAAGATGCTATCAAGAGCTGGCCTGTGCACTCTCGGGAAAACTTCAATGGCCTGCACACATGCGCGAGGTCAGACTGAGCGGGTCTTTAATGATGTTGCTCTCTCTCTCTAAGTGACTTCTGAAATAAGACATCTCCAGCCGAGGTGAAGAATTCACCTTTGGTACTGATTCAAAGTTAACCTTGTTGTTGGTATGTACAAACACGGAAACCCCAGTGCACAGGTCGATCCAGGGAAAGCTTGGTGGAGGCACTTGAACTAGCAGTTTATTCACCGCTTGTATTCAGTCAAGTGGGTTGGAGCCATTTGAGACCATCACTCCACCTGGGATACATTAGAGTCCATGTTTCCCGAGACTCATTTATGCATGTTCCTTGTTTTTATTTTCACCTGATAAAGCAACTCTTTACTATGATTTTTTTGTCTTGTATTGTCTTTAAGTCATTCATCTAATAAATAAATTAATTTTTAAGAATTTCATATTGAAAACAATAATATCTCTGTGCGTGAAAGTGAAAATAACTAAACCCTGTGAAAAATCAAACCATGTTAAATTCTACACGCCCAGCTAATTTCTAAAGCTTGCAAGTCTTGGTGACTCCAACCTGCTCAGTCTTGAAGATGAAATATAGGGCTTAGAGTTGTTAAAGATAAGCCGACACCTTTCTCTATAATAAATCAAAGAAAAATTGAAGAAAAAATAACTGTAGAAGGAAATTCTCACTATGCAGTCAGCCGGTCGTGGTGTGGTGTCCATATGTTTATAGTATCTTCTCCTCCACCATCGTTTCTTACACAGGGAAGAGGAAACATATGATGCTGGAGCCCATGGGGTACGGCAGAACTTGGTCCCCAGTCTGAGGCATTGTCCTAGGGTCCTGGAGTCTACACTTTGAACGCCTCACTTGGGAAGAGCAGGCTTTGCTTTCAAGTCCATTCTTCCAGATGAAACGTGTCAAACCCCCATGCTTGGAAATTTGGTTGGTCTCAGAAATCATCATCAACAAGGTGGATGTGTGACTGTCTTCCCCTCCACCTACTACACCTCCAGATGGAGTGCTTAGGAGGACAAGGGTATCAGCCTTCATCAAACAGAACCTTTGACCAGAGAAAGAAAGCATGGGTTGACCAAGAGAGGAGGTACAGCTGCCATCTTGTCTTTCTGTGCCACTGTCCTAAGGAGAAGATGAGTTGGTGTCTGCTTGAGGCCACCACTGGAACCTGGCTTAACACTGGGCCAGAGTGGACCTTGAATCTCAAAGCCCATGATTCTGTGGCTTGAGGCCTGTCTCAATTTCTGATTAGGCTGGTCAGGGAGGATAACTCCTGCCAGTGTGTGTTCTGTTGGGGTGACTTTAGGCCTTTTGTCTTTCCCCACTTTTGAACCTGGTTGTTCAGCACTAAAATGAGTCTCCTAATCCCCAAATTTATCTCTCCTTTTCCTTTATGATGTCATTATTGACCACTTTCAGTTAATTTAAACACAAATCTTTAAGTCTTAAGCCACCAACAAAAATCTATCTCAGGGAAGAAAAGACCGTGACTTTCTAGACACGGAAACTACTTAGAAGGCACGTAACATTTCTTGCTTCTAAATAAAACTTAAACTTTTTAACAGTATGAACTTCTGCCTGCACTCAGGAGAGAAGCAAGTCTGGTCCAACTGCTTTCATTTTTCAGCAACGATTTAATCTGACTTGAGTCAAATTGGGAGACAGTCTTCTCTTACCCTTCTTGGCTCCTTCCTCCCCTGACTTACCTAAAAGGCTGGGGGTTTACAGTCCAAGGGACAGGCTTCCACAGATCCTGAGAAAGGCCACAGGCCCAACACCCTAGGATTTGGGCAATTATCTGTTTGAGGAATCTGTCCTCCGTTCAGTCAGGATGGTGATCATGTATGTGGGGATGAAGAATGAGAGCCATCCCCACCTGGCCTCCCTGCCTCAAATTGACTCCTCCAACTCAACAAGCCCAGTAACCACCAGTGCCATCCTTTGAGGAAATTCCATTCTGACCACAGCCACTTGCATTCCCAGCCCTGCTTCAATACCTTCTTGAGGGGCTCCCACATACATCATCTGGAAAGAGCAGAGTTTTTAATACTGGTCTGTGACACTGTTTCGTCAGCCCCTCCTGCCTTGCTCATCCATCTTGCCACTCTGTCCAGCAGGACTGCCCTTCCCACCATGACCCCAAGCCTCCCTCCTCCTGTTTGAGTAGGCCAGCTGGCTGACTCAGGGTTTTTGTTATCATTCTGCATAAAAAGGTTACCCACAGAGGACTCCTGCCTGCACCATTTGCCCTGTATCCATGGTGACCATTCTTGTTTGTTTATTTCACTTTTGCTTTCCCTTACATTGCTTGTTCAAGTGGTGCACCTGAACATGTATTTCATCTCTGTGACAGTACCAAGAATAAGCAGAGACAAAATGCTGCCCGGGACTCACCACTCGTTCCTGTCTCAGAAGCAAGCCCTCTTACCAGTTTGTATGCATCTCCTTCAAAGAGAATGAGTCTATGCATAAATAAGCACCATATGTAACGAAACATAGAGTATATGTGCATGGTCCTACTACTATAAGCTGATTTTCCTTAATATATCAAGGG